CTACGGTTTACCGGGCAGTTCTATTTGACGATATATATATATATATATATATATATATATATATCGTCATATATATAAATATGTATATATATATTTCGAGAGTTCCGACAGTCTATGATTGTGATCGTGAGTAGGAATCAGACGAATTTGCGTTGAGGGAGAAAATAGTTTCCGCTCGATCTTTTATTTTTTGGGATTTTTTTAATAATTGGACGTTGATATCTGTTACAATCGTCAAAGGCAAACCCCTTGACTTCTCTCCAGGCCCTGGATGATGGAGGTCGCCTCCAAGGTCATAAGCGTTGACTGCCACGACAAGTCAGAACCAGTCTACCACCCATTATCCGCAGGGTGCCGAAGAGGTGGTGGTTCTCAACCACCTTAGCGGTTGTCTAGCGTCGAGAGATTAACCCCTCAAGACGGATGTTAACTGACACTTAAGTGTCGAAAGTGACCCTCTAGATCGCTAAGGACCACACGATTATGAGTACTACATAGTACGCCATCACTACGACTGCTTGCGTATTCATGCATGGCTACTCGATATGACAAAAATTTGTGCCTCCGTGATATTTATTCAAAGTCTCGTGCGCCATACTCGGTTGTTCTGCTTGGTAAAAGTTATGGGTCAAGTGTGGAAAAAAGGACTAAGCGCAGTTTACGTACGAGAGTTTGATCTTATTTTTCTTAACTGTATCGCATGGTTAGATTGTACCGTCCTAGGCAACCGACGTAAGGCCACATTCAGGAAGTCGACGCCTCGGGCGACGATTCGTGCACGGGTCCGATTCGGGTGTTAACCGCACGTACTCCCTATGCTACAATGAACGAGAAACGTCATCGATCGGATCACCTCTACGACTGCATACAAAAAACATTCTCATGTGGTTTGGTAGCTCGGCGGGGATACGCCCACCTAAGGGATGGTGACAGCTCCCGCAGGTGGAGGTTAGATGTACCTCGCGTGGCCCTATCCTGTCGTAGGGGTTCTTGAGAGGTATGGCTGGCGCACTCAGCCGGAGCGGCAATGCTCTACGACGAAGTCCTCAGGCTGCAAATCCTACGTTACGCGGCCAGGAGGGTCCCGTTTGTAGGACCGATACGCTCGACAATAGTAGATACTTATATACGATTGAAACCTCTGTGATATTTTATTTCAGGATGCAATAGGATCTCCTTTCCAGTTTGGATTTTTTTAACCCCCGTTTGGTTCTAGTCATGTGGTCGTTAACTTAAGTCCAATTGTTTCCCGGTCTCTCCTGCATTAAGGTTAAATTATTGTGTTAATAGATCATTGAACCCGCCTCCTTGCTGTGTGGAAGGTCTTTTAACCAAGGTATTAGGAGACGTAGGACCTTATTGTCGACTTGCCACCATGCTACCCCCGGAGGATGGAGAGGAAGCGTAGATAAGAACCATGGTTGCGAGTTGTTTTGCACTGCATGCCTAAGGAGAAGGCTAGCCTGCGGGGGAAGATCCCAATTGCGGGGATCAATCTGCATATCGCATGCCGATATGGAAATACAAAACGGACGCAATAGTATTAGTTGCGACATGCCCCTATCCTGCAGCACATCACCGAGTATACGTCATCGTG